GGGACATGTGTGCGAAGAATGCCAGCACCATCATCAGGCCTCTCATCCACATCATCAACATTCATGGGTGCGTGAACGCCGAAGGGCACGGTGGAGTCTTCAGTCATCAAAGAGCGGGATCAGGAGAGCCAAGGATAGAAAGGTTCCCGGGTCGCAAAGAAGAGCAAAGCAGCCCCGGGGGGAGTCGCAGTACGGCCGACGCTGTTTATGGCCCAGGGGTTTAGGCTTTGGTTGAGGGTTTAGGTTTAGTTCTGTTTCAACTGCTGATGTCAAAAATACTAAGCCCTTGAGCCAAAATGGCTTGAGCCAAAATTGGGTTGAGGGTTTAGGAGTTTAGGGTTTTTTTGCATCCAGGACTCTTGCAAGCGGAGTTTAGGGTTTAAAACCCTAAACCCAAAGAGTTCTTCGACTCTTTGGCGCCTCTGCTGCTGCCCTGCCAACTTCTCAGCACAAGAGTCCCGGAGCTTCATGAGATCCGAGTCTCCGGGCCTTAGGAGCAAGATTCATCGACACTTCCCTGTCATAGATGATCCTAAACCCTTTTTGCATCCGGGCTGGGAGAGTTGGCCGGGAAAGTGATCCTAAACCCTAAACCGTAAACCCGGAACCTAAACCCTAAACCCTCATACTGAGGCTGCGGCGCCTGCTTCAACCCTGCTTCGCAGAAGTCGATTCCATTCCGGCACAGGTCCAAGTGAAGCGAGGCCCTGCCCGCACGCCAGTACGCCTCGACACGGCAGACGAAGCTATATACTATCTATATGATAATACTATATCGTATTATGTTATATGATATTATTATCGTACATCTGCCTTGATGTTCTTCGGATCCTGCTCTATGGCTCTTCGGCAATCGTCAACCTGCCCAGATGGCTCAAGTCTCACTGCGCCAGTTGGACTCGAACAGCAGAAACACGAGAAGGGCGCACCGCTTCCACGAACTGCCGCAGGAGCAGCCGCACGTGGGCACGATTGCCTGTGGATGTACCCCCTGACTTGCTGGAGATGCGACGCTTTGCTCTGCAGTTGTTTATTGGGACTCAGTGTACTATATGGTGTAGGATCCAAATCGGCTCCAAGCTTTGTTTGAAATCTGCCCTGTCGAGGGAGTATTCTGAAAGGTCACAGTTCCATGAAACAGCACATCTAGCCTTGAAGCCAACAAGTGAAATAGACCTCTCGAGGCCAACCCTTTTTCTTTCTCATGTGTTCATGCCATCTTCGGATCCTGCTGTGCTCGTAACTCTGCTGTTGGTCTTGAAATCACCAAACGTAGCGTTCACGTCCGCATGTCGTTTTGCAGGCTGGTACTTTACCAGTGCTGCAGTGCTCTCTCGACACGAATTCGCTGTTCCAAGAACCTGTATGTTTATTGTGTCTCTCATATTCTGCAAATAAACTGTGCAGGCATTGCTACATGGTCGCACACTGCTATGTTCTACGCGCAAACTTTTGTGTGCTGTGCGTGCGGTATCATCACGTCTTGCATCCTGGGCTTTTGTCAAAACCTCATGATGTTAACCCTGTTTGGCTCATCGTGGTGCATCGCGATAGACGGTTGGACACAAGCATCAATTCAATTGCAGGCATGTACTGCTGTATAACCTTATACTGCCTGCCTCATGCCGTTGCACAACCCCTTTTCTGCTACTGGACCCAAGTCTAGCAACCCCAAACCATCTTGCAGCTGGCCCTCCTTGATGCCAGGCACATAATACCTTTTGCATCCAGGCCTATTGCGACTGCCGGGTACCCCTGCTCCTAAACCCTTTTTGAACGAGGTCTCTCTGAAGATCTAAACCCTAAACCGTAAGTCTCACTAAACCGAACGGGGCCGAGAAGAGAAGCTCGAGTTGAGCATCTCCAGTTTCCAAGGAGCCCCAAAGCAGCTGTTCTAGTTTAGGGTTTACGAGTTTAGGATTTGGGATTTAGGAGAATGCGCTTTCATCTGATTTCATATATCATATTTCATAGTACACTATCATGAGAAAACACTACGAAAGAGGCCCGTTAGTGCATGTGGTTCGGATCCAATGATGCTGTCGGGGTACTGTAAAGCTGCGCATTCAGCTTCGGCTCGCTGCACCGCACTTCCAAGCCTCAGCTATTTCAATGGCATGAAATACAACATGCTGGAGTCATGTACCATGCTGTACTCCATGCATTCGCGCATTTTTTGGTGCGCAAGGTTGGTCTTTGCGAGCAGCAGCTGCGATTTGCACTGCGGTCCCACGGGAGAAGAGCTGTCAACCTTTGCTGTCTGTGGGAAACCTCAAGGAGGGTGCATGCTTGCCCGGGCACCACACGCTTGTGGGCTCAGCTGCAGCCATGGGGTCGTTTCGCACCTTCGCCATCTCGTCGCCACTGCATTCTGTCTGCAGGTGAGCCATCCGCAGAGCACGGACTGCCGCATGCTCCAGCTTGTGAAGCTTCTCCGAACGCGGAGAAGTGGCATCAATACCGCCAAGCAAGTGTGCGATTTGTGATGCTGTCGCTCCAGGTCGGCATGTGAAGACCAAATGCCACATAATCCTACCAGGGTCAATGCTGCATGCCGCATCGCACAGCTGCCAGTATCGGCTGCAGGACCGCACCCCTATACATGACAAACTACATTTGAAATCACACACTTATCAAAGGGACCGGAAAATACTTCACGTCCTTGGCCACATGCCGCAGAACTCGCTCCAAGGCCTCCTGCCAGCCGGTACGACCGGCAAAGAAGTACAACATGCAATGACGGTATGCAGCACATGCTTGCCCGAGTTTGTCAACATGTATGAACATGAAATGCCTGTCGTTCTTTCTCCTTTCTGGCCCTTGTGCCTGTGGCATGCCCGACCACCTTTCTCCAAGGGCAAGCAATACTCATCCTCGTCCTTCCTTGTTTTGGTGTTTTGTTTTGCTTGGGAGCCCTGTCCAGTGTGAATGTGCGTAGTTAGGGCCCCCGGCTCGTTCCGAAGAACAGGTCTGAAGGATACTTTCGCTCGGCGCCCCTTCACCATTTTACGGTTCCACTCTGTGCTAGGGCCAGCTCGTCTGAAGTGTCCTCGAAAGTCCACACGGTCAATCTCCCTCGCCCTCTATTGTCGGATGCATGTGGAAAGCAACAAGAATATTTGCAGGCGGGCAAGCAGACCAGACGTGGTACATCGTCCGACCTTGTCATGGGGTTGCCTCTCTGCCTTTCCCCACGCAGCAACAGCTGTCTGTATCATGCTCACTTTTTGAAAACATATGGACACATATGCATGTACCCTTTTGGGCGAGCCGATCTCCTGGTCGTAAAACCGAACAAACATGCTGCTGTCATCTTCGCGGTAGGTGGTTGTGCGCTGGGCCGCCAACTTCGTTGCATGACCGGCTGCTGGGAAGTATGCATCTGCAAGGGCTTCCGACAGCTCGAACGACAAGCCGAGAACGGCGTGCAGCATCTCGAAGATCTGCCAGTTGACAGCCGAGCGGTCGGATGTCAGCAGGCCAGCAAAATCGATGCGCTGCCAGGGCAGCTTACAGCCATGGCTCAAGTAGAGAGATTGTGGAATCCAGTGATCATTCACTGACATTCCAGGTGTGGGCAGCTGCGAGGCGAAAGCACGAAATGCCCGCACCTGCTCTCCGACGGGACTTTTTGAAGTCACCGCCTCCCAGCCCTGTCGATGAGTCTCGGAGCAGAGGTTGCTGAATCGCATGCACTTGTCCATGAATGCAGAGAGGAACCGCTCCAGTGGATCACGCAAGAAAACTGCGAGCTTCCACTCGGGCCGCTTCCAGTAAAGCTGGCTCACACGAAACCGGGTGCCGACTTCGCGCGTACGGAACTCTGTCTGCACGATGTCACTGTAGGTCATATTGTTGCCATCCAGGCGATGGTTCAGGAGAAAAAACTGCATGAGACCCACCTTAGGAATAGAGCAGAGGGCGTACCGATAATGCTGGTTGACGTGCATGCGATAGATGTAGGCGCCCCATAGATCACGGAAGAAGTCCTGGGTCGCCTTCCGTGCCGTAGAAGTCCAGGAAGCCGACTGGGCCGGCCAGGCAGCGGGGTCCAAATACCACGCAGGCATGCGGGAATCGTTCCTCAAACGCTCGAGGAGGGTCCCCAGCTGCCGCGCCCTTGCCGCATCTTTGGAGCGGCTGATCCGAAGACGCACGCGACTTCGAATTGGAGCTCTCACACCAGCTTTGCTTGAGTGCCCGTGCATCGAAAGCAGAACATGCCACCCAAGCGATAGCTCACTGGCTCGCGAGCAGTGGCTTGGTACACAAAGGCCCATCAATCGCAGACTCGAGGTGTTTGGAAGAAGCTCAACCTGTCGCCCAACGGCCCAATAGCCCACCAGCAGCTTGCCTGCTATGCCGGTAGAAGATATGTCCCGACTCCATTGCTGACTGGCCTCCAATCCATGTGAGTACAGAATGTAGCGCGCCCCCAAACCTATGCACTCCTGCAGCTGTAACCACCAACCCTCCGCGAAGAAAGACTGGCCACTGGCCTTCGCGAAGCGAGGGTCCGAGTTGAAGGAAGCCAAGCACCGCTCATGTTGCCTTCCGGTGGCTTTAGCACGGATCCCACTCCTCTCCACCAACAGCTCGTTGGAAATCCATTTCTTCAGTCTTGACCGCACGGATGTCCCGCGCACTTCGGCGGCGGCACAACAGATCAGGGCGCCCCAACCGGCGACGACAAAGACTGGCTGCATGCAGGGCCCATGCGTGCAGCCTATTTGTAGCCGAATGTTACTAAATAAGCCCTTCCCCGCTCTACTGCCACTGTGGGTCGTCCTCTTGTTCCTGCTTCGGCTCTTGCTGCCGCGCTGGCTTTTGCTCTTGCTTCTGCTGCGTCTCTTGCACCTGCTCCTGCTCTTGCTGTTGCTCCCGCTTTTGCTCCTGCCCTTGCTCTTACTCCTGCTTTTGCTTTTGCTTTGCTCTTGCTGCTTATCTTGCTGACACTCCCGCTTTTGCTCGTGCTCCTGCTGTTGCTCTAGCTCCTGCTCTTGCTCTCACTGTGCTGTAAGGGTACTTGGAGCCTCGAAGCCCTCCCCCCTAATTCAGAATAGGTTTTAACGGGCAGGCATGATTTCGGGAGGATTTGCCCCAATGTGCTTTTATGATTAGAGATGTTTAATACAGGGGGGGAATGGATTACCCTTCCGGACATGCCCATGACTCCTTGAGCCCGCTGGACTGGACCGCGCGAAATCGGAGATGCATCGAACGAGGCATCGTAAAGAAATCGAGATCTGCAAAACCAGAGGATACTCTGCAAATTCCGGGCGCCCGTGCCGCTGGTAAACAGCTCTAAGGCTTCCCTCGCTGCGGACTTCGTGTTGTCCTGCAAAGGCTTGCGACGAGAAACCGAACTACCCCACATCCCCGGAACTTCCCTCCTAGGTCGTCCTTCAAGCGATCGTTGCCCTTCTTCTTAAAAGCTTCTGCCTTTTGGCCTCGAGAGCTTCCCAGGAGCCCATCATTGACCGATCATCAACTATCAGCATCTGCCTGAGAAAACATGGGTACTCTGAGCAGGGCACAAAGCTCCAGTATCGCACTGGGATCCTCTGCGGCAGTTTCGCTGTCAACCTTTTGGCGACAGCACCACAGATAAATCTAACTCTGTTTTCTAGCCAAGCCCTTTTTGCAACTGGCTTGCAACGTCACGCCATGACTAACCAAGCCCTAAACCCTAAACCCGGAGAGCGCACTCCCTGCCTCCGTCTTCACTCTCTGCAGCTCGGCCATCGCTCGATCGACCTGTGCCTGAGCCCGGTGATCTAATCACCAGAAGGCCAGACAAAGGGCTTAATCATAATTAGATTAGGGTTTGGGGATTTAATAAGTAGAATAAAAATGCTTGGGACATTATCGCATAATTCGCCAGCCCTGAGGAATGATACGGGAGTTTTTGTCATCCACTTGGCACGTGGGAGTGTAGGCAGTGACATAGGGCAGTCCGGCTGCTGCATCCGCACCCGCGTCCTTCGCCTCTTGCAAAGCGGCGCGAATCTTCTCGGGATCTCCCGTCTCCTGGATTTTTTGGTGCGTGGTCGGATGGGGTGAAACACCAACCAGAAAGACGAAAGACACAATGCAGAACTAGTAGGACATCATCGAAAGACACACTTCAGAGGAGTTGCGGGCTTTAGAGCTTCGCGCTTATAGGTTTTACTCGAGGACCCCCGAAAAAAGCCCACGGATCGGTCCTGCGCCTTCGCAAGGCGCTCCCCAACCGTCCTGGGCTGTCATGAGGGGAGTTTCTAAACACAAAAGCAGTGAAGTTGCGACGATTGATGGTGCGATGCAGAGAATCTGCTCATTGGAAGACTCATTTAGAAAGGCAGGTGGCACAGCAACTCAGGAATTCCAACAAGAGTTGAACATGAAAACTCCATGGCAGGACGGTCTCCTGTTATTCAGGTGTCGCACAACACTGGATGAAACTGCAAACCGCAAACCCAAAGTCGCTGGAAACTACCAACGCTGCCACCTTCCTTCGGCCACTAACCAGAGTCCAGATGCGCCCCGCAATCAACACAAAAACTGCAGCACCCCGTCCCAACCGAAATGCAGCATATTGCAGCATGCCACACTAAGTGAGAGATCCCGACTTCGGACAGGTCTTTTAGTCTTCGGTGTCGCTGAGGTCTACTTGGTTGTTGGCCAACATGATCAAGCGATTCGTATTTGCCCTGGTGGCGGCATAGACCCCCAGCAGGGCGATGGCGATAACGGAAGCTGCCAGGCTGAAGCGCATCCCATAGGGTCCGTGGGCGACCACACCGAGCCAGACCAGGTCCCCTGCCCACATCAAGGCTCCGACGATAAAACTCACTAAAGGCATCTCCACCGTTATGGGCATTCCGGCCACCCAGTCTCCCAGCTTTTCGTCTGGAACGAAGCCCACTTGCATTATGAGGATAGTCGTGAGGATCACGGCAATGACATTGAAGGCCAAACCCATGCTGCAGAGAAACGGATGAACGGTGTCACAGAACTCTTTGCTCGGCATGATAGACAAAAGGAAGTCCCCTTGGCACTCGGCCACTTTGGAGTAGTCCAACATCGTCAAGAACAAGGCTCCAACCACGCCGATGGTGGTCCAAGATGCCATCATCCGATCTCGGAAAGTCGCGGCATCCAGCGTCTTGCCCAGCATCGGCAATGTCTCCAGGAAAGGAGACTTGCAAAGCGCTTTGCAGAAGGCCCGCATGGCTGTCTATGGACCTAACTTAAAGCTGGGATATGCGGCGATGCACCCAGGCCTTTGGCTTGATCCAAACAGCTCGCATCGCAGATGGACCTCAGAAAGCAACGCCTGCCCCCTGCGCTAGTGAAAGATGCCTCTTTCTGGCGAGAAATCTCGAGGACTCGAGGCCGGTCAATTGCTTTCTGCAGCCAAGCCACTCTGGCATGAAAGGTCCAACCTGCCACTCACACGCAACGATCCACAACAACCCTAAGTTCACAAAGACAGATTGGTCATGCCAAGCATGAAAGTCTTAGGCCTTTCCAACGAGGGACCGCGGACACGATGCGAGAGGAAGACACTTCTTGAACCAAAACGGAGCCTGCGGTCACCTCGGGTAGTTTATGCCACCACGGCAAACTCCGTCAAGGACTTGCCTTGCCTCCCCATAGGACAGTAACTCAGTACATGAACGCCATGTTCCTAAAATGCCTCTGCTACTTGAGCACAAGTTGCAGCATGACAGTCTTGGTACGAACTTGAAGCTCTGACTCTGACAGCTACTGATACCAGCTCAGCTACTGATACCAGCTACCACCGACTAGTTGACAGCATCAAAACCACTTGGGGATGATCCTTGTTCGCGTCGTACTTTGCCATTTGGGCCTCAGGCGCCACAGTCCTCTTGCGGATCTCCACCCGGAGACCCTAAACCCTGAAGCTGCTATCCTTGCCCTCAGCGTCCGGCGACACCTGCCTCCACCTTTTTCTTGCTCTGAGACTTCCTCAGAGCCTTTTTGCCTGAGCGGAAGTAGCCCCCGCCCCGCAGGAAGCTCAAGAAGGCAAGTGTCCACGTGCCAAGGCCCCGGCACTCTTGGAGGCGCTTGAGTTTTTCCTGGAAGCCCTGACACCGCATTTGCTCGGAGCATCGCGGGGACATGGTGGCAAAAACGGAGCGACTGCATCTGCTGTCTTGGCTTTATCCACTTTTTCAGATGCCGGGCCGGATCTGCAGAGCTGATGCTGCAGAAGACGAGTGATCTTGACAGCGGGCTTACACCTAGGACCCGGGATAATGCTGGATTGTCGCACTGGCACGAAGGAGACGGCTGAAGTTAGCAGCAAACCCGAAGGTCGCAGAACCAGGATCTTCAGTCGGGTAGGTTTGAGTCGTAGTGGGTGGGTTTCCTCCTGTTCCCAACGGAAATCTGCATTGCTTCGCTTCTCACTGCACTGCTCGTTCTAGAGCCCGGCTGGGTCGGATGTACTCTCCCCTCCTGGACTTCTCGCTCATTTACTTTCCAAGCCTCCGCGCATTACCCTGGTGCACGCACTTGCGCCGCTCAGCCTCCGTGCACCAAGGACAACAACGATCTGGATCGTCTGAATACTCTTGGATCACAAGTCGCAGCCGCAGTGCGAAGAAGAAAAGCAGATCGTCCAGTCTCTGTGGCGCGTCTTGGTCTTGTGGCTCATGCGCTCTCAGCAAGCAATGGAGGCATTCGGCGGTCGAGAGAAGCCCCTGCACGTCTGCCAGCTTCTCAGTGGCGGAGCGCCAGAAGCATGAGTGCGTCGAGGATTCCGCGCCCAGCTTCATGGCGGGGAGACCCCGAAGATTCAGCTCGGCGTCTTCCAAGACGGCCCTGCAGCTCGCAGGATGCTGGGGACAAACCAGAGGGCCTAGGCCTAGGCCCAGTAAGGCTTCTATCATTTGACATCAGAGATGCAGCAACCCCAGCCCTCAACCCTGTCCTGGCATGCTTCCAGCGGCTGTCTACCAAGACTAAACGCTGCACGTCCTCCCATGGCACGCTCTGGGCGTCCACCGCATCCTCGCTTGGGTAGACCAGCCAGGTCCCGGGTTTCAGAAGCTCGAGGTCCTCGAGGTCCAGGCTTGGCTTCCACTCCACAACGCGCACATCCTCAGAGAGGAGCGGGAGGGGCGTCGCAGAAGACTTGGCAGCCGGCTCCTTCGGGTGCCGCAGAATCAGCACTTGCAAGCCCAGGCGGAGAGGCTCCGGAAGCGGCACCACGCTTCGCACACATTGGGAGCAGTAGAGCCGCACCCACTTGGAGCAACCTGGACAAAGGCCTTTCCCCAAGAACTCCTCGAAGCTGCCGTCGATGCTGAATCTCAAGGTCGAGAGAAATCTCATAGCTGTCTGGACTGCTTCACATCTGGCAACCTGGACTGGTGCCGGGGTGGGCCCTTCAGCGAAATCAGCACCGGCATCCATTGGCGAACCCAAACCATGCTCGAAACAACATGGCGGCGGACTGCCAAAAGAGCGTGCGCGAAGGCAACAAATCAAACTGCGCGTCGATGGCAAGTTCTAAGTTCTGACCTCGGACTTTAGGTCCCCAACACACACTTCATCGCTTGAAGTGGCCTCACCCATGGTCAGCACGGCTCCGCCCTCGACCAGGCAGGAAGCGCACGCCTTCACCAGTGGCAAAACACAAGGCAACCGCCCCTCGTAAGCTCGCTCCAGCTAGTGGACATATTGGAAATGGCCCGTTTTGATGCACTTCCTGCCTCGACGGCCTCGTCTGCCTCTTTCAGAAGCCTGTCGGTCACCTCACTTCTTTGTGAAAAAATCAACATCGAAGAACAGCTCGTTGCTCCCCCAAAACACAACGGCACAACGGCGTTTGCTCCCCTCCATTTTGTGTTGGTCGCACCACTCTGGCATCAGTCTGGCTTCTTGTGTGCCGCCTGTCGCCTGCACCGATTCATCAGCACACGTCCGAAAGCGCAGCAAAGTCTCCAGTTCACCCAATGTAAGAACAGCCGCAGCGTGTTGACGGCCATAGAGGCTACGGGGAAATCCAGTTCGAAGATCCAAGTGTTGATGGCCCTGCCGGGCTTGCCCTTTTTGGGGCAAGGTCTGATCTCCATGAACTCGCAGAGCTCTTCCATCGTATTCCGACGCGGGTCCCATTCGAACAAACGGTCTTTGGGAACAGTCTGGCGAACCTTTTCGAAGAATTGATTGTAGTCCTCTTCGTTTTCAGGTACCCATGTCGTTGTGGGCGGGCTCCACGCCTCGTACTGCCTCCGGTGGTTCCTCGGATTTGCAGAACCCCCGCACATCCATGGTCTTGCTTACTGAATTCGGATCTGACGAAACACTGATCCCTCCAAGGAGCAAGGATTGGTGGTAAAGCCACACCTGAGTGGGAGCAGCACTTCCTGTAAGCCCTCTACATGATGTCATTTGTGATTACCCCTGTGTGCTGCCAAAGACTCCATTGGACCCGAGACCTGGCAGAAACTGGTCTCAAAGAGCACAAAACCTCCCTGCTCCCCGCGGAAACCGCCTCCGTAATGGGCGGCGTGCCCTCCCGTACGACTCGCTCCACGGGTCGGCCCAGCAAGTGGTCCTGGGCCCAAAAGGGACTTGCGGAAGGGGCTCCGAAGACGAGTGCAATCAAGGCTCCAGAGGCCGAAGCAGCCACATCCAAGGCAGCAAACCAAGGGAGGCTCCAGCAAACCAGTTGTGAAAGCACATCACCTTAGAATTTAACCACGGGGCCTAGGCCTCGGATCTTCATTTTGCCTCCCTACTGCCAATAAAAGACCAGGTCGAAACGCCACGAGCTTGGGAATGAACTTGTCGAACGATGCTTTCCAGGCGCTATAGCTTCGCCAGCTCAGTAAAATCACCTCACGGTGCAGGGATTCTTGCCCGCCTGGCGCTACATAGCAAGGACGAGCCCGGAGGGTCGAGGGTTCCCACACTCTCCTACTAGGACTCTGCAGGCAAGGCAGCCGAGGCTGTAAAGCAAGGGATGTAGGCAAAAAGGATACAGTAAAGGGTTTTAGAAGCTAGGGCTTCAGAATCTCAAGAAGGAAGCACTTCATTGGCAACAGCTGCCTTTGCATCATTGCTGCTTTCCCAGATCGTGTCAATCAGCACCTCGCCACAAGGGTGGGGGGAGATCAGGAGAACTGCTCCGGCGCCCTTCCCTTGAAGAGGCCCCTGAGACTGTCTCGCCGGCAGGCCTCGAGGCCATCGAAGGCAATGGCCTCCATGCGGCAGCTCGAGATCCTTGGCAAGCCAATGGCCAATGTCACTGTGCGTCTGCGGTGACACCGGCAAGCTCTGCTGAATCGCTGTTGGCCTAGGCTCTTGCGCATCAGCTGTGCCGTCAAATCTTTGTCTGACTTCATGGCCCAGGCGAGCTCGGCTGCAGCAACCCTGAGATGCTCAACCAGGAGACTACCCCAAATCCAAAGCTGCAACACTTGCAAACTGCAGCCTTACGGCGGCCCAGAAACGACGAGTACTGCGACTTCTGCGCCCGCACCTGTGTATGCTCAGGGTGCAGCTGAAGCGAAACAGCTAAAGCCGCTCGCACTGCAAGTGCACGTTTCTCCCAAGGCCTCGCTCACGAAGTCCCACCAGGGCAGAAAGTGGAAATCCTGCACAAGGCATCGGATCTCAGTAGCGATTGATCACCCTCAACATGCTGAACGGTGTCCTCGCTGTGATAAGCATTGACGCCTATCTCGTTCAATGCGTGGCAGATGGTGCGAGTGCCGCACTTGGCGAGCCCTGCCACCAAGACTTTCACGCCGGACTGGTTTCCTGCGGTGGGTCAGAGAAGCACGACAGAGCCAGAGCATGACGGGTTGAAGTGCGCACTTCGACAAAGCTGGCTCTGGGCCGTGTCCTGGCAGCGGCTCGTGCGCACATCCCGGAGGCTGCTCGATCAGAAAATGCCATACATCCAGCCCTTTGACGACGGCAGACACGAAGACGAAGAGCACCTGCTCATCACTGTATGCTCTTGCCTTCTCGCAGAGATGCCCCCTGCAAGAACTCCGATTCAGGCATCACTGCAGGACGAGGGACCAGCGACACAGCGAGGCCACAAGCTCGAAAGCAAGACATGGCTCTGAAAGGAGCCTGTGGGTCGCGTGAGTGTCGCGTGAGTGGCTGGATTCTGGGTCGGCCGAGGCTTCCGTGTCTGTCCAGAAGCTGATGCCAGACCGGCGGTTGTTGCTGGCTAAGTTCTCTGAGGCTCTGAGGCCTACGCTTCGCTCCAAGCTTTGGATGCGTTGGAGGGCTTGACAAGCGGCTGCAGGAAACCGGCCAGGAAGATCATGGGCACGACTCAGCAAGAGTTCGGGGGCTCTCAGTTGACGGCCTTCGCTTCGATCTTCTTCAATGCTGCCTGCACGCTTCAACCAGGCCGCACCCTGCTCGCGGCCCCGGTTGAACTCCCACCTCGGCCGTGGTGAGCCGGCCGTCCAACTCCTGCGACCAGGAAAAAGGCAATCAACTTCGGAGAGCGTGCAGCGTGCAGCATGCAGCCACCCACCCCCTCAGCTGACCCAGCAGTCTCCGCCCATGAGTCCACTGGAAAGAAGCACCAGCCTCCAACATTGGTGCTGCCTTGACCTAACAAATGCGACGCCGCACGGAAGCCAGCACTGAATCTGGCACAATTCCCAACGCTGATCTTTCCAATGGCCACTGTGAGCTCTAGCCCCGTTCTTGCGGTCAGCTCGCTACGATGCTGCTAGGTCTCATTCAAGCCTTCTACCTACAAGCACACCATGCATTCTTTGACGAAGGGAAGTCAGAGCAGCTGCCTTCGCTTCCTTCTGCTGCTCCACTCTGGACCTCGCCTGGCGACTTAGGACTTCACAAGAATGCACAAGACCCATCGTGCGATTCTGATTGCATCTTGTTTGCTGCCTGCTCCAGGGCCTTGTCACACTCCTTTGCATTGCGTGACAAAGAAACTACACCCACGTTCGGTGCCCTTGAGAAGAAAGCCGCTCCTCTTTCACCTTAGCTTTCTCGTCACCGCAGGCCTCCAGCTCCTGCCAGCCAGCTGCCCTACGAATCCAGGGCCCAACAGCACACGGCCAGCAGAGGCAGCTGTTCTGACAATGCGTGTCCTTGTCCAGCACGGCGGTCAGCTCTTCTTCCAGAGACTCCAAGGTCTCGATCCTGACGCGAAAGCCAAGCGAGAGCAATGTTGGGGAGGAAACCTACGATGAAGCCACTCCCAAGCTAAGTAAGGCAGAACCCAAGGGTTGTGGCGCACTTCACTGTCGCCAGCTTCTGCGCGACAAGGCGGATTTGTTTGGCTGCTCTGGTGACCTGGCTTCGGCTTTGGAGCGAAGGCTTTGCCCGATTACCCTTTTTGCCGATGGATTCGGAAACTCGCAAGGGTTTAGGATAGGATTTGCCGTTTACACGGGTTCTGGGTTTATAGGATTTACGGCGTCGCTCTCAAAACTGAGACAACCCGGGCTGGGTGTCAGATCTCGAGAGAGAGAGAACAGTAGGTCAGTAGGTTCAGCGACAGTACCTGAGACTACTGTAACGACGGGTCGGTTCTGCTCGCCCACTTGCTCAAATCAGGCATGGACTCAGGGCGATGGGTCTCAGCTTGGGTTGGCTTAGGCTTCTAGAGCTCAGGGACCAGCTGTTCTACAAAGTCCGCACCTGTCCAAAAAGGAAAAAGTGTGCGACAGAAACACTAAGACACTGAGAGTCCGCCTCTGCCTGGATCTTTGCAGCTGCCTCTGCGCATGCCGAGTGTTTTAATTGTTCGTTCGGAGCATGTCCTCCCTGGAGGTGGACATCAGAAGTCGCTGCCCAACAACATCCGTTGCCTCCTTCTTTAGACGGCGGTCCTCATCGGAAGCTTTCCTCGGGATGACACCCACTCTCCCCACAACTCCCAAACAAAATCTCCGTCTGCTGAACACATGTGCCTGTCCACGCTGATCGCGAAGTTGGTGTCGACCGGGCCGTCGTAGGGGACTTTCCAGCCCCCAAGCGGCGCCGTACCCAGCATGCGGCCTTCGCTGACTTCACGAAACGCAAGAGGCCATAAACCGCATCCCTTCTGCTGAAATCCTCGTTTCTGCTACTGGACTCCTCTTTTTTTTGACACCTGGACTATGCATATGCCAGGAACTACTGGACTCCTCTAAACCCTAAACCCTTCCAACACCCCTCAACCCCAAACCCCAAACGCCCATGGTATCTCAAAACGCGGCTCGTTCTCAGGTCGGGGTCCGCGCCGGGATTGTAAGCCCAGACCTCCTCGGCGCCCACGCGAGGGCCGAACCTCAACACAACCACTTGGAGGGGCAACGGCCGCTTTGCTATCTTTAATACTTTAGAAAAAGGCCCGATCATAGAATGTAGTGTGGCATCCTTTTTGCAATGGCATGTTGTCGATAGCAGGTATTACAGCACAAATCACATTGACGTTGTATGTTACAGTATATGTCACAAAAGACCCAGCTCAGCTGGGCTTCCTGCCACCAGCCGCAGAAGGTCGGGTTTTGCTTGTCATCCCAGAAGTAGATGTGCACATCCACTCCGTCTTTGGTCTGAAATGGGACACTTAGATTGCCAGCCCGACTTGCGACACCAAACGTCCCATCCCGGTTCTGTCTGATTGCATGTGACGCAGCCGGAAGACCGAAGCATGCTTCGAACCCGAGCCTGCTCCGTCTTCTTGTAAACGGGCTTGCCTGGTCAGATCTCTGACAATCTCTGCCATCACAGGATGAGATCGTCTCAGCCCTTCTGAGGCCGAAGGCCATGATTCTCAGCGGTTCGAACGTAGCTGCCGTTCACGATGGTGCCGACAACTGCATGACTGCAGCCACTGACCTCGAGCCGCCCCGCGAAGATGGCAAAAACGGTAAAGGTGGAGACCGCAATGGGAATGATTGTATTGTGCTCTGCTCCGTTCTATTATTACAGTATGCTGTTTTAAAGCCGTATGATCACAAATCATATGACAACACCTCTTAATTCGGCCGGGACACCACAATGTGTGTGTCCCCACCAACTTCTTTGGGCGGCGGTGCTGCCGGAAGGGCACGGGCTGGAGGCCTGGGTGCGTCCAGGCTTGTTGCTTGCACGAAGCCTCGTGTACCAGGATTCCCCTGCAGCGATTCCTTTTCTCCACGATCCAGCTCTGCCAGAGCAGGGCAACAGAGGTGAAGAAAGCACTTCCTCGGCGCCAAGGCACGTGCGCGGATGCAGATGAAGGCACTGAACCGGTTCGCACTCGCCAAGGCTCCAAAGCAGCTGCTGCAGAATGCAGTCGTCGGCCTCACCCTGCAAGGATATGAGGCTCTCTGCCAGGCACCTACCGAGCAGGGCACAACGAACAGCTGACCTAAATCAGAATTTAAAAAAACTCTTGCACAAAGCCCTACCACCCAGAAGTCTAAGACTCTGCCGGTCTCTACCACCACTACCACTACAAGGTCACCTTTCACTACTTGCTTCCAAGGCACTCCAGCTCCTCCTCGCTCGGCCACTCGATCGCATGCAAGATGCGGGAAACCTTCCGCTGAACACCCACCCGCACCCGAGGGACGAGACGGAAACGGCGGAACAAAAAAAACGACGCCTTCTCACCGAACTCCTGGTCGCTTGCGTCTGGGCGAAGCCCACCTGAAGCAAACAAAAAAACTCCTGGAGCCGGCCATGCAAGGTCCCTGCAAAGCAAAACGGCGCCTCCTGCCACCAGGCGCTCGTGCTCTGGGGTTTCCTTAGCATGAGCATGCGGCGTCATCATCCCCCCCCCGCCGCAATCTTTCGAAGTCTTCGCCTTCTTCACTCACAGCGTCGTGGTTCCCTGTGACCCTGGGAGCCCGCGCCCTGGTCCCTCGGTCAGATACTTACCTTGTGGACGAGGCCGTGGTTCGAAAATCACCGGTGATCCCTGCGAATCTCGGCCGCATCTGAAGTTTCCCTATCTAGGGGACCCACATACACTGCACCCCCGACGCAGCGGCGTGAGAGCCCAACTGTGCAGTGGTCCGCGCTGCAGCACGTCAACACATTGTTGCACATGTGATTCAACGCTCCGGTCTCAGCAAGTGCTGCAAGGAGCTCCCTGGCACTGGACCTTCCGTGCTGGGCTAAAAAGCCAGAAGACATCCCCCCCTAAAAAGTACAAGACATCCCCCCCTGTCGTAAGAGAAACTATCCTGGTGTTCCAAACCAGGTCGCCCTTTCTTAGTTTTTGCCTGCCTTCCTTCCTTCTCTAGGGGAAGATGCATTGCGCTCACAGGCATGGGCCGGCTTGCCGCACATCCTCCCGAAATCCCACCGCAACCACATCTCTAGCTGGCTCTCTCTCCATCTCCGGTCAAGTCTCTGCAGATTCCGCACGCCGCCGGATGCGGCAGACCAACTCATCTAGATCGCCACACCTTCCGTGCAAAGTAAGTAGAGTAGAGGTCAGGCGAAGTGAAGCATCTGACTGTAAAAAAGGTGGCCCTTTGCACTCTGTCTGCGCCTGATGGCCATGCAGATGAGCCTGTAGGGCTCGTAGGCTTCGCAGTAAGCCTTTCCTTGGCATTCATACTGGCCCCGTAAAGTGCAGTCTGCTGCCGCGTACTGAAGTGAGGCAACTCTCACGAAGAAGCCTTGCCAACCTGCGAATCCCCTTGTAGGATAGAGGTTTCAGGCCGGCGTCGCGCTGACTGAGCGCCGTTGGTCGAGTCGAGGAGTATTGAAGATGGTAGCTGCCCCTGTCAGGTTCACCGAACTTCCGCACAAACATCGATCGGGGGCTTCTGTCGCCGTCATATGTTATCCTTCTTCCTCCGTGCATCCTCAACAGTTATACCGTTTTTTGCCTGCACTTCCGAGCCTGATGGCCACGGGCAGCACGCAAAGAATCCAAGAGACGCTGGTGAGTCCTGTCACCAACAGTGCGTGGACTCTGCTCATCGTCTCTTGTGGTATCTGCGGTCCTGCGCTTCGCTTCTGCAAAGCCAACCTCTGATCGCAGGCGCTCCTCCGGCCGAGCCCAAGAGGATCCAAGAGCCCAAGAGCCGGTGGCCGAGGGCGCAAACAGGACTCGGAGCCTCGAAGAACGCGAGGTCGCGCTCGAAGACCGTGCAAGCCGCAGTGGCGGCAAGCTGCCTCTGGCAGTCTTTTTTCTCAGCGGTCTGAGAGCACTCTCCCACGCCCTGCCCATCCCTGACCCGCCTTGCTATCCATGACTTCCCGACTCCTGGCGGACCAACCGGCAAGATCAGCGTCGAAGGCCGCCGCACCAGAAGGAAATACCTCTGTTTCGGGGGGGGGGGGGGGGGGTATGTCTACACGTCACACATGAATCGAGACACAAGCACATCGCTCTCTCTCTGGCTCAAAAGTCAAGACCGCTATCGCCATCGGATCACGACGACAAGAACTCCGTGCCCGCCAGGAGGTCGAAGGATCGAAACTTCCGGATCTCCTTGGCTCAGGCCGGCCTCTCCCCTGCCCGAAAACCCTCTTTGTCTAACACTACCCTTAATACTGCAATACTATATACTACTGTAATACCACTTTAATATTCTCGTGCTATACTACTATAACCCTCCATCTACACTGCTCAAGTTGCAGCCTGCTGTCAAAAGCGCCAGGCCCAGAGCAGAGCTCCGTCCATTCAGCTGGGAGGGGCAGGTGGCTGCCTCAAATTACCATGGACTCTAGGCTCAGACTGCCCGGCGCAAGGTGCCCCTAAGTGCGTTTTGGAAGGCTACATTTCGTACGCTCAGACTGCACATCTACGGCTTAGGGTATCGACTCACACACTC